TTGTTAAGCTTTTAGAGGCTCACAGCACCTTTAAAATGAAGTTTCTTAAGGAAGGGAACTCTCCCCAGAAGTTAGAAAACGCTATTTAAAAAAAAAAAAAAAAAAAGAACAACAAAACAAAACGCCACCACAAAAACCTGTGCGAAGCTCATTTTAAAAGTTGTGTCTATTAAAAATGAACTCTTCACTAGATACCGCAATGCCTATAATTTTAAGGTCAAATGTTTTAATGTCTGCCTCCTTTATATTTATTTCAAGTAATGAAATACATTATATAATACAGATACGATGCCCTTTTGCTGCTGAACATGAACACAGGAGTGTACGAGGGGACCATATGGCTCAAGCCCCATGATAACAGCTCCGTTCTCTGCTTGTCTCGCAGTACGTATTTCTCTGTACTGTTAGAATCCTCCACTGGAAAAACTCTGGGTGTTTTACAGAGTTCAGAAGGAATTAAATACTTATCTGAACTCCTAGCCAGTCTTAAAAAATGAATGTGGCAGTAAATGGCTCAAGTCATGTCAAATATATAGGGCTAAACGTGGATATTAATTATATTACCAGAGGGACTCAATTTACTTTGTAAAGCAATTAAAAGAAGGCAGAAACTTACAGTCTTTCTGGAAAAGAGTAATTTCTGTTTAAAAATAACCTCCTACTCAGAATAGCCTGCCTGTCTCACATAACATCAATTGGGGGCGGGGAGTGTGTGGGGGGGGAACTAAACAGGCATTTACAGCACTATTTCTTTATGGAAAAATCAAACTGAAGTTTTAAAACAATAGAAGTCGACAGGTGCCCAGCTCCACACTTAGGCATGTAAACAAAGAATTTGCTTTTCAAACTGGCTGAACACCACATAAAAATTTAGCTTCCCCTTGTGGTTATTCCCCATGGGCAGGTAAAGGCAATGACAGAGCTTCTATTCCTGTGGACAGGTTTAAGGAGGTAGAGGGTTTATTTTTTTAATATAGAGTACAGTTTAATATTGCTCTGGATTATTCTACTAGCATGTCACTTTTTTATTTTAAATGTGTTTCTTGCTTCAGAGCCAATAGTCAAGTATTCCTTTCAAGCATATTAATCAAAGCTGGAGTTTGTTCCTATATCCATAAGCATAGTAAATCTGTATGAAAACTTCCTTTAACCTAAAGCACCTGCTCCAACAGGCATCCTGATAGAAAGTTAGTTTATTCTTGGATACTTCACTGCATTTTAGTTTTGTTTTTGAGTGGTATTCGTAATACCTTCTTCTTTACAGTGTACCCTCTGAAAATACCGAGTGATCGGGACCCAGCTGCCAGTGAGAACATCATACCTGTTCAGGCCAATAGCCAGGGCATCTGTCCCTCTCTCTGCCTCCTGGCTGGCTCAGGAGGATCAGACATCTTCAGATATCTACTGGTGCACTATCTTCCAAGGAGTGTAGTCAGACATACAGAAAGGAAAGCAACAGACTGTCCATGCACAACTCGCAAGGTCTTTGCGCTTCAATGTTACACCCTTCATAATCGCTTTAGAAACCACTGTCTAGCAATGCGCTAAAAAGACTATGGTGGTTACTTTTGTCTTTGGTGTATAGCACAGCATCAAAACTTCTGATCCACCTTTTTTATTGCTGTCCTTATTTAAATACATTAGAAAGAAACAGCATGTTTGGTTGGTCTACTCAACATTGTACTTTATTCCTTCTTCAAGGAGTATCATGCTTTAAGTTTTTCTGTGACATTTTCCCTTCTGCACCATTTTGAATGTGCCCATAGGGGGATCTACAAAAACAGTTTAATGCATACAGACATGACAGCAGAAAAAGGAGGTTGTGTTTGTCTTGATTGTTTATTTCAAAACTATAGTAAGAGCAAGCTTCAAAAACCACCTGAAAGCTCTCTGAGAGACGGCATTTGGGAGCCAGGGGCCATTACCTTTATATTTCAGTAGAATCTCTTTGCTTTTATGTCACTGTTCCTGAAGTACAAAAAAACAGTTGAAGACGGGGAGAAAGAACATCAATTCTGAGTGCCTTTCTCAGGCAAAATTTTACTGAAACTAGAAAGTTCATATAAACAAGGACTTCCAGACACAACAGCAAGAAACTTTGAACTCGTGTATGGCAATTTCAAAATCTTTTGGCGAGAAAGGATGGGGTTGTATGCTGAAGCAATCCGTGGCAACACAGATAGCTCCATTTCCATTCTCTTCAATGAGTTTGATATGCTCTAGGTTGTGTCACTGTCAAGGGCAAGCATCAAACATCAGTTACATCATTTACTTTGTTACGCAAGCAGGGTTCTTGCATTGCGAAATGTGGCTGAGCCAGTAACATATTATCTTCCTTGTTAAAACTCCAAGAACACTTAGCAATATATATCTATCTATCAGTATTTTAAGTATCTTATTTTAATTTAAAGGGCCTTCATGTAAAAAGAAAAAACCTAACAAAATACACTTAGAAAGGGATAACATCTGCTTTAATATTTAATTTTTTCCCAATTCTGCACTCTTGTTCATCTGCACTTACCAGCAAAAAAGGATATGTGAAATCCAATCCTAAGAACATCAAATTATGTCTATACTGGGTGCTTTAGTGTGCTTAAGTCAAAATGTATCCTGCAGCTGTTTCAGCTGGTTTTCAGATGAGTGTAAGCTAGCACATGGGCCAGAAGACAGCCACTCTTGTGTTCCAGCACTTACCCCATCTGGACAAAAAGGGAAGGAAAACTGTGGGGTATACTGCAGATTCCACCTATGTGGAAGTCCACATTCCCATTAATATGAGCAAATCAAAACTAATTAGCTTCTCTGTGGCTGTCTTGTCAAATTTTAAAAAAAAATTCTTTATCCTTTAAAAAGTTCTCTACTGTTCACTGTACAAAGGTAGATGAAGGGTTCTTCATTGTGTACAGGTAACACAGCTAGAGGCTCTCTTCTGTGCAAATGACTGATTCCCAGATTTACCTTTTCTAATTTGAATTCTAGATTTGCATGGTGCTTCACTTTTACAGTAGCCAAAACGAAAAGTCTGTAGCTTTATACCACAGTAGAGAGAAAAAAAGCATTAACACATCCATCTTAATACCCAGTTTATTTAATACCATAGCAGTAAATACAGATAAGAGTTCTTGAATCTGGCAATGCTAGAGCTGGTGAGATACAGCTACCTGACAGATCAACAGCCTATTAGTAGTTCTGGAATTCCATGTGCGCTGGAAAGCTGAAATGTGTACATGAGTAGTCTTCAAGTTCAGACTCCTAGATATTGACAATACAGTTAAATACACTACTCCTGATATGGCAGAGCAGCATCTGCATAGAAATAAAGCAACACTGAGAACTATATTCCAGTATTTGTAGTCTTACAACAAGTGAAATAAACAAGTGAAATAGTATCTTCTCCTGAAAAAAGGAAGTGATTTTTGGTCGACACTTATTAAAATGTGCTTTAGTTTTATTTTGTAAAAGTAATGCTGAGATTATATAGCTTTTGTAATGTTATCTTATGGGAGTGGACATTTGAAAATCAGCATTCTGCTGTGACTGATAAAGTAATTTTACTCGTTTCAATGTAGGTAAAATTTTAGAGCAGAGGTAGGCTTCAACTCAGCAGCTTACAAAGACTGAATCCCAGCTGTCCTCTGGAATGGGTAGGAGGTAGTAATTCATCTTCAGCTCACTTCTCTACCCTTTCATAATTTCTGTATGAGCACAGCACACTGGGCTAAGCCCTTATTTACTTAAGTCTACAGTAAGAGCTCTGAATGTCAATTGATAACATGTTTAGACCTAGCTGATGTTTAATATCCACATTTGAAAAGTATAGATAACATATTCCTCAGTGCTCTCTCAAGTGGCATTTCCGTACCATAGCAATGGCTAGTTGTAAAGACATTTAGACTAGTTGTAAAGACATTGTCCTTAGGGAAAACACTCTACACAAGTTAGGAGCACAGGTCTTACCAGCAGGCTGACCTTTAAATCCAGGCAGACATCCTAAAGAACTTGTGCTCTCTACCAGTCCATATGCCAAGCTTTCAAGCTTCCACTCCCATCTAAAACTGAACAGGCTCATCCACCTTACAGGTACGGAAACTTTGCTACAGTCCACAAAAACTGCTCTCCGAAAGGGATCAGCCCAAGATGTTACACTGGCCTTAGCCATAAAATTATTTCACTGAACAATGACCTTGCCAAAACAGCCCGATGCTCACTGACTGACATTTCACTAACATTTCAGTTCTCACCCTCCTCAACCTTCTCTACTTTCTTTCATCACTCAAAAAAACCCCAACAAAAAGATACTGGAACAGGAGACAATACTGCTTTGTTTATCTGCTTCCCTATTTCTGGTGCCTCTGCAAGGCAGGCTTTGCAGGTAAGTAACTTTTGTAGATTTCGTGTCTAAACATTTAATTCATATGAATTTCAGCAGGTGTTAGGCACCTTTAGGTACATGAGGATCTGAGACATTCTTCTTTGAGTTAAATATAAATATATTACCACATACAGCAGCAGTATTTTGCCTTTCTTTAGTGCAAGCGTTCTTGCACAAAAAAATCCAACTACTTCTCAGAATTCTGAAGTAAGATTTTTATCAGCAAGGCTGAGTTTATTTTAAAATAACTGTTTATATTTCAGTTGCACCTAGAAGCTCTATCCAAGACCATGCTGGTGGCACCTAGAAGCTCTATCCAAGACCATGCTGGTGTTGAATAAGTACAGACTAGAACTCTCCTCTGAAGAACTTCTAAGATAAAGGGTGAGAGGAGCATCTTAGAGTTTAAGTGACACAGCCCTAGCACAGTAAATCTGTAGTAGAACTGGAAATAGAAGGTCAGGTCTTCCAGGTCTAGACCCTGTCCACTTGACCGTACTATCTCCTGCCTTTGGTTTCTACTGTCTTACACCTCCAGACATTGACCTTTGGAGGAAATTGACTGAATCCCAAGAGCTGCCCCTGCTCCATTATTTCAGCTTATTCCTACTTCAAGACTAACCATCTTTTACACAGATTTCCTTCTCTTTCCAAACACATTGTTGATTAACTTGGCCATTGACTTTGATCCACTTGGTCGTCTCTTTTCCTTCATTTTGAAATTTGAGGTGATATTCCTCAAGACTTTTGTGAACATTGCCACAACTTCCTGATAATGTTCTGCTGCAGACAGTTCACAGAATTGGCACTTGTTATCAATCGCCAGCTTTTGACCTTCATCCCAGCCAACTTCTCTCATGTGGCATAAATCCTGTTTATTACCGACCAAAAATACTGATGACTCGACCATTCTGAAATCAAAAAGGTTCCAATTAGAGAAAAGATACATTATAATACCATGCTGTATGCTGGGCTATATACAGTAGGTATGAAAAGTATGTATGTTCAGGGTAATAGGCATTGCAAAAAAAACCCAAAAGAACAAACCAACCCCCTAACCTTGCCAAGCAGAGTTATAGTTTTCCATATGCTGTAGTCAAAGGATTTTCCAGACAAGCTATTCTCTACCAGTAAGTTTTCATTTGGTTCCTCTACTCAGTGAATTCATGTATTTTTCATCCACTGCGGTTTTCATACTCTATACTGCTGAGTATATTGTCAGCTCCTACACTTCACGAAGAAGCAAGCTAGTCATTATTGCCATTTGTAGATAAAAGAATAGAGTCAAAGAGATGCATCAGTGTCAGTGACATAATTCAGAAAAACATAGGAATCCTAATTCTGAGCTTTTGCTAAAATTACTCCTTCCAGAGAAACTTTAATTAAGAAAGGTCAGCAGTAAAACAGACAGATAAGTGGTTTTTTTAGGGTTTTTTTGCTCTACTTCTGATACAAGTAAAAGTTTTTGCTCTCATTTATTTAGAAAGCACCTCAGCTGACTGATGCAGGAATACACACCACCACCTATACTCAGACTTGCAATTTTGGTCATTCTTTTTGAAAGTTAAATAGTTTGTTTCTTACCATATGGTCACTCATGTGCACAAATAATGTTGGGGTCACTGCTAAAGGTAGTTTAGGAGACATTCATGGTGGTATATCCATTTATTGTGGGAAATGCTTTCTTCAACCCCCACCTTGGTGCATCTCCATTGGTCATAGAATTGAGAAGTAAAAGCCTAGACTGGCTGTGCCAGCTTTTTTACCCATGTAAATTTATGGTAATTATTTAAATAGTAGTGCTGTAAGAAATAAGAACAGAAATACTGATATACTTGGCTTTGGATACAGTGAAATAGATTGCAATTTGCCATACAGATTACCTTCCGGTACCTTATTGTTGGTATTGTGTTATGCCACTAGGATCCTACTGGGTTTTAATTGCTACTAGGATGCCTACAGCTCACAGAAATGTTCTCAGCTTTTTTGTACGTTTGCCGAGGGAAACAAAAATAACACCACTTACTTTTTGCAAGCTCCTATGTGGGACTCCCGAATCCTGTACAGCAACGCTTTTGCAAATGCAAATGATGCTCTGTCGCTGATGTCGTAAACAATGATAAATCCATCAGCCCAGTGGAGCTTGTCTGTGAGGGAGAGCTTCCCCCGCTGTGGCTGAAAAGTTCAAATTCACATGCAAAAAGAATGTTACTGTTGTCACTTCAGAGAATTCTTTGTCACTGTGAATGTGAGAATGCTGTATCTTTTCTTGCAAAAGATATTAATAGGTCTAGGTGCTGGCATTGAATTCAGGTAAGCCCTGCTACAAAGGCCTAATAAATAACCATCACTAAATATAGCACTTTGGATCATCAACAAATTCATTATGAAACAGTTATGCTTTGTTTAAGAGGTAAAATTGCATAACCTGTACAGCCATTGCCTATGCTGAAAATTCTGCAGAGTTCCAGGAGAATGAAACATACAGGAGCCACTTGTATTTGCACTGTTTCTGGTTACAGCTGTTTTGTATGTTCCTAATATGCTGACTGCAGTGAGCTTAATTTGTTAAAAATTCTTTGTTCCCACTCACTTCTTCCATTTCTTCTTTGCATTGTTCAAGTCTAAAACAGTATTTACCTACAGGATAACCTTCTACAGGGCTAGGAAAAAACAACTAATCTCAATTCAAGCTGCAGTTGACTTGAATAAAACTGATGACAAAAGTCATGCAAATGATAAGGGGATTATTGTGTGTCCAAAGAAGGCCAACAAAGCTGGTGAGGGGTCTGGAGCACAAGTCTGATGGGGAGCTGGGGTTGTTTAGCCTGGAGGAGGCTGAGGGGAGACCTTATCGCTCTCTACAACTATCTGAAAGGAGGTTGAGGCAATGTGGGTGTTGGTCTCTTCTCCCAAGTAACCACTGATAGGACGAGAGGAAATGGCCTCAAGTTACACTAGGGGAGGTTTAGACTGGATATTAGGAAAAATTTCTTCACTGAGAGGGTGGTCAGGCATTGGAACAGGCTTCCCAGGGAGGTGGTGGAGTCACCATCTCTGGAAGTGTTCAAAAAACGTGTGGATGTGGCGCTTCAGAACATGGTTTAGGGAACATGGTGATGCTGGATTAATGGTTGGACTTGATGATCTTGAAGGTCCTTTCCAACCTTAGTGATGCTGTGATTGTACCAGTCCTTGAGTCCCTTCACCCCAAGAAAGTGTTACACTTCAATTTCTAGAAAGCAAGAGCTGCAAACTGTCCCATTAAGCTAAAGAATGTAATTTCAAGACTATTTTAAATTAGTTTATCCCTGCAGACGACATGTCAGCTGCTAGCAAGACCATGTGACCCAAGATAGGTAAAATACTGGAAGATGACCAAAAAAAAAAAAAGAAATCTACTTTTGGTCTATGGAAAATCCATCTTGGATAGTAATCTGAAGACTGTTTAAGTTGTTCCTTCACAAGTTTACTATTTTGCTCCTTGCAATATATAGTCTCCACCAACATCACACTCTGGTTTTCCTGATTAGCTTAGCATCAGGGCAGCACTGTAGCATCATACAATCTCTGGGTTGGAAGGGACCTTTAAAGGTCATCTAGTCCAAACCCCCTGCAGTAAGCAGGGACACCTTCAACTAGATCAGGTTGCTCAGAGCCTCGTCCAACCTGACCTTGAATGTTTCCAGGGATGGGGCATCTACCACCTCTCTGGGCAACCTATTCCAGTGTTTCAGCACCCTCATTATCAAAAATTTCTTCCTTATATCTAAACAAAATCTACCCTCTTTTAGTTTAAAATCATTACCCCTTGCAACAGGCCCTGCTAAAAAGCCTGTCCCCATCTTTCTTACAAGCCCCCTTTAAGTACTGGAAGGCTGCAATAAGGTCTCCCCAGAGCCTCCTCTTCTCCAGGCTGAATAACCCCAACTGCCTCAGCCCTATCATGAACATGGTACAACCCCATCATGAACAGCTGTGCTGGGAAGGCTGTAACTTACCATAAGACATGGTAACTCAATGCTGGCAGTGAAAGGAGATGCATGAGAAAAAGATGAAACAGGTTTCCAGAACTATTTGAATATTTCAGTATCTTTAATACAACAGTTTTTTAATATTGTAGTGACTGTGCAGCAGGTTTAGGGGCAGGAAAGGTGACTTGTGTATGTCTCAGCTGTTTCCCAGATGGATCATAGAATATCTCAAGTTGAAAGGGACCCATAAAGATCATAGAGTCCAACTCCCTGCTCGTCACAAGACTATCTAAAAGTAAATCATATGACTAAGAGCATCATCCAGATGCTCCTTGAACTCTGGCAGGCTTGGTGCTGTGACCACTTCGCTGGTGAGCCTGTTCAGCAACCCACCATGCTCTCAGTGAAGAATCTTTTCCTAATGTCCAGTTTGAACTTCCCCTGATGCAGCTTCATTCCATTTCCTTGTGTCTTATCACTGGTCACCAGAGAGACGAGATCAGCACCTCCCCCTCCCCTGCCCTTCTTGAGGAAGTTGTAGACTGTGATGACATCACCCCTCAGCCTTCTCTTCTCCAAGCTGAACACGGCAAGTGACCTCAGCCACTCCTTGTAAGTCTTGCTCTCAAGGCCTTTCACCACCTTAGTCATCCTCCTCTGGACACACTCTAATAGTGTTATGTCCTTCTTATACTGAGCTCCCAAAACCGCACACAATACTTGAGGTGCTTTACCAGTGCAGTGTAGAGTGGGACAATCACCTCCCTTGACTGGCTAGCTATGCTGTGCTTGATTCACCCCAGGACACAGTTAGCTCTTTTGGCTGCCAAAGCACACTCATACTCAAACTTGCCATCAACCCAAAACCCCAGATCTCTTTCCACAGGGCTGTTCACCAGCATCTCATCCCCCAATTTGTACCTATAACCAGGATTACTCCATCCCAGGTGGGCAATCCACCACTTGCTCTTGTTAAATTTCATAAGGTGGGTGACTGCCCAGCTCTCTAGTCTACCCAGATCTCTACCCTCAAGGGAATCCACAGGTCCTCCTAGTTTAGTATAATTAGCAAACTTACTTAATGTACATCTAATTCCTGGATCCAGATCATTTATAAAAACTGTCCCTAAAACTGAGCCCTGGGGAACTCCACTGGTGACTGGCCACCAGCCTGATGTAACCTCATTTACTATAACCCTGAGCCCAACCATCAGCCAATTCTTCACACAACGTATTCTGGGCTTGTCTAGCTGTATGCTGGACATTTTGACATTTTGATACTGAGACATAGTATCAAAAGGTTTACTAAAATAAAAAAAAAAAACACCCCACATCTGCTGGCTTCCCTTGATCAACTAGATGGGTGACCCTGTCATAAAAGGAAATTAAGTTGGTTAAGCAGGGTTTTCCCCTCATGAACCTGCAATGAAGAGACAGTAAGCTTTGCAGAACAGGGATCCAGCTACTAAAGCCTCAGAGAACAGCAAGATCCCAGGAAGCAGAACCAAAAATGGGGACTCTTCCCTCCCTTGTTTTGCCTCCTCTCAGATACAGCTTTTCTTATCCAGCTCCCATGGGATACAGGACCTCCATACCCCATCCATCACTTTTCTAGAATCACCAGTTCTATCAGACAAAAAGCAATACCACCACTACTCACTGCCTACGCCCTTGCAGGCACTAAAGAGAAGTCAGGAGGAGAACAGCAGAAGGCAGCAAAGAGCTAAAGTTAAGCCTTGTTCCTAAGGAAGAACTGGGACAAGAGGGCTCAGTGAATGCTGGCAAAAGGAGTTGCCTGTAACACAGCTGATCTCTCCGGTCTCCTTAAAAGCAAAAAGGTGCCCAAACTGTAGCAAGCAACGTCTCTGACTATAACGTAGTCTAATCTGTGTTACCCTAGATAGCTGCTACTCCCAAAGTTTCAAGTATCTTAATAGCGAGTTGTTCACATGACACAGGATTTAATATGACAGTAAGTGGAAGCTATACGTAGGCTTAGGAAAGAGGTCTGAGGTAGGTGGAAACACGCCTACAGAACAGTAGCTTCTAACAGATTGCATGGCAAGAGAGGACTCCATAGCATAACATGGCACAGTGGCCATTTCAGGATCCCCATTGCCCTGGGACAAGCAATGGCGTTGCTTATTTCTAGGAAGAATGGTTTTTTTTGGTGGTTCATTTTATGTGCTCACTGCGTTAGGTTTTTAAGTCTGAGTCAGACTTTCAAGTGCTTTGGCATTAGCTTTCGTTATCCCAGTTATTAAGAGGCAGTATCTCTGCCCAAAATGGAACCTTGCGAGCTAATGCTATTAGCCAGACAGACCTACCTAGGTCTGCATGTGCTATGCAGTCCCAAAGTTTCTTTATTCTTGTAATAGGAGGAAAGAAATTAATACAAAAAGCTTTATTACAAAGTGGCTTATTGTGATCAAAGTTCAGCTGTCGACACGTACAAGCCTGCATTATGGCTTTCCTTGGATCTGTTCTGTGAATGCAGGTTTTACTTCCAGGCCTACCTACTTTGACTGTTTCTGCAGACATTTAATAGACTGCTTGCTTTATAAACTAAATTTCATCCATTTAGGGCATTTGAGAAAACTGCATATAATACTATAACTTATCTCTGTATTTACCTATAAAATGCAGAAATGGGAAAAGTTATTTCTGTTAGCAATATTCCAAAAATGCAAAAGCATTTACAGAAAATTTAAGCAATGAAGGGCTTCTTCCACAAAATGGGAAAGTACTAAGCAGTTCTGAGCCACTGCAGCTATGAAATTTGAGTCTTTTCAAAAAAACCAGCAAGCACAAATTCCAAGAACCAGACAGAAAGTTTGTAACCCCCCTGACTGTTTCTACCGTTACACAGTTAGAATGAGGAACAGCCTTTCTTTGCCCTCTAGAATTCTTACCTGTGAACAAGGGTCATAAATTTCCAAGTGTATCTGCCTCCCATCCAGGCATAAGTGTTTAGTGTAGATGCATTCTAAAAGACACATGGCATTCAAAGAAAACCAGCATTAGAGTGACTGGAGATGACAGTCAAAAGAAAAGATGGTAAAGGTGAGATTCGCTAATACTGAGGGGAACTCCCTGGGTATTGTTTGGTTTTGGGGGTTTTTTGTGTGTTTGTTTTGGCTGGGTTTTTTGTTTGGTTGTTGGGGTTTGTTTGTTTGGTTGTTATTTTTCACACCATGAAAACAAACATATTTTGCAACACCTGAACTGCCCAACCCCTTAGACTGACTAACACCACTTCACTGTGGTATTCCCATGGAAGCACTGGTGCAATAAATACCTTCAGACCCTAGTTTTCCTGTTCCAAAATGGAGGCAAAGGGGATGCACAATGCTCAGAATCAGATAAATGGTGATGACTACTCAGCTTGCTACCAAAGTTTAGGATTATGAAAGTAGTAAACCAGCCTATGTGTAAGTTCTGATTCTGCACAAAAGTCATTATTTGGTAATAATATTTATTTACTATGAAATCTTGTGCTTTAAGAGTTCTCATGCTAGGTAGCATTAGATCAATAGCATTTACAGGATCATGTACCTAGACTAGATCTTAAAATATTTCTGTAGTGTCAGTTCTCCACCAGCCCTAGCAACCCAGGCAACTCTGGTGCAGACAGACCATCATTATTATTTTAAGCAGTAGGCTGTTTAAGCAAGTATAACCAACTTGAGTTCATGGCACTGGTCACCAGCAAGCTGTCTACAGTGTAATTCCTCATAGTGACTGAACTACAAAGACAAGAACTCGTCCTGGCACTACTGAACATACACTTCAAACTGTATGTAATGAGGGTATAGACAAGGGCTATGGTCTCTGGAACTAAGCATCTTCAGTTCAGCACCATGTTCTTCTTAAGAATCCTTCATGCATGTCTTAAGAGTTCATCTGATCATAAACTATCATTCTCAAGTATCCCAGGGTATCAAATCTGCAGCCCCTTGGTGGTTTCCAGAATTAAACAAATTTTTAATTAATACTTTGACTTCACTAAAAGCGTTCTAGGATGATCTTGTACTTTATCACTCTTATTCCCACTTTTCTCCTACTTCCTCCTGCCTAGAAATAGAGCTAAACTTAGCTTACAACAAACATTTGTTTAAAAATGAAAATGCTTTGGGAGTTTGACATGCCTTTTCTGATACTTGCAGTGTCGCAGGGTCAGAACAAAGGAGACCTGTTTTCAGTTGTAGGTGGCTTAGAACACACATGGAGCACAGAGAGCACTACATAACTTACATGTGACAGCTTAGACTTAGATAAAACATCTGGGACAAAAACTATCTGTTCAGTCTGTGTTTGTATAACAACAACGTTGGTAGAGCACTTACGTACAACTATACTTTCAGAATAAGTTCATCTGGATACATTCAATACAATTCAGCTTAGTACTGCTTTTTTATTTATTTATGGATCATGGAATGCTACTCTGATTTTTTTTTTAAAAAGAGGCTTTTGGAACCAGCCTTTCCCTTTAGCAAGGAAAGTGAGATAGTGGGCTCCCTTCCTTGTTAAGTTTTGGGATTTCTCATGCCCCATCAACTGCAGTCGCACACTTCCAAAGGTGATCACCTATCAGTTAAATAGTGCTTGTACCTGGGATGTGAAAGTTCACATCCTGCTTTGCCATCTTCCAAGATTTTAGAAGTGCCTTAAAGATCAGCATATTTGTTCCGGCATGAATGAGAAAATCTATCCTCAGCACAGTGAGGCTTTCCACAACGGTATCAAATCAGTGCATTCCTG